AGAGGGATGAGGTCACAGTAAGGACCTGTCAATCCCTAATGGGTCAGTCCCAATTGACAAATACATTTTCCTCCACACTTTTCTCTTCTTTTGTCTCATCCTTCCTTATTTTTCTCTCATTTTTCTCTCCTTTGTTTTATTTTTGTTGTGACAAGTGTCAAGCTGCTGTTATTTTTTTTTCCAGGCCTTAGAACCTCATTCATGGCTAGATTCATGCCCAGCAGTTGCTCGTTGCAACTCGGATTACAATAATGGAGCCCTAGACTTATGGGGGCTCCGGTTTGTCTCCGTTTTCTCAATTTTGAACCCCCTTTTGCTCCGATTTTTCCTTGGCAGCTTATTTTTTGCATAGAGACCATTGGGGCTCTATTTTCTTGTGCCTTGCTAGTCCGAGATGTCTTCGACTGCTAGGCAGTCCCTCCACCCTTTTTCTCTCATTTTTGTCTCCTAACACCCTCTCTCTAGGCTTATTCAGTTTTGCACTCACGTTGACTAATATTTTTCACCGTCAAGATTTTGATCTTGACGACGCTACTCGCTTGCACATTCCTCCCCTTTGCTAGTTCATGGTTTCCTCGGGACCACTCAAGTCCCCGCCACTCTCCCATTCCAGTTCTATATTATAGTCCTGACGGACCGACGGTGATCCCGCCGACGCATGCCCCAAATTTCAACTATTTTTATTTGGGCCCATCTAGTCCCCGACATCGTTCCCGGTGACGTTCCATTTTTATTTGGGACTTCCTTGTCCCTGATAACCCCAATTTCTTCTTTCCCATGGGCCTCATGCCACGAATATTCTAGGCCATGAGATTCATCATCTCACGACCCCATTTACCATCTTTGTTCGCCCAAGCCAAAAACACTATTTTCTAGTGTTTTGGGTGAGTCAAAACCCTTTTTCCTTTTGGCCTAGGCACCCCCATGCAATCCGTTATTTCTTGGACTGCCAAATTAACTTTTTCCTAGCCTCATGGCCCCACAACTTGCCCTAAATTGAAAAAAAAAAATAAAACGGTCAATTCCAAGTGCATCAACTCAATATTGACCCCGGTTGCATCTAAAACATGTGTTTTCCTTCCCTCATGCAATCCGTTGCATCTCGGTTGCATAAGTCCTTGATTTTTATAGATTTTTTCTGCAAAATAAAAAAAAAATGAAGATACTTTGCAACCGTCATATCCCAGGATGTATCTGGTCATGAATACATCTTCCCAAGTCGATGTTTTTTACCGTTAAGGTCTTTTTTTTTTTTTTTTTTTTTTYTTTTCCCTCCAATTCCGAATAATAGGGGCCTTCGAGTCCCTACTTGTGCCAGTCTCTACTGATGACCAATTCACTTACTCTCTCTCACTCCCTTGTCTTATTCTCCCACTTTTTTCTTTTCTTGTTTTTCTTTCTCTCTCTCTTTCTGTTTCTAGCATGTCAAGTGTCAACTAGCTGTTGAGGCCTTCTCTAGGTCATTCCTCTTAGTTTTGACCCTTCCCATGCTCAAGGTACAGTTCGTTATATATCGGAATGCAATTGAAGCGCCCCCATGCACATGGGAGCCTCCTTTTGCTTTTCTCTTTTCCAAACTATGACCCTATTTACTCCGATTTTCTCTCGGGAGCCTATTTTTCACATAAAGCCTCTCTAGGATCCATTTTCCTCAAGGTAGTTAATCCGAGATATTTTAGATTGCTGCCATGCCACTTCCCTTACTTTTTTTTTGCTTTCTTTTCTCTTTTGGCCCCCCCGTTTGCCTCCAGGAGCGCTTGCGCTAGTGTGCTAATATTCTTGGTCGTCTAGATCTTAATCTTGATGACACATCTTGCTTTGGCATATTTTCCTCATGGTCCTCCGCAACTTTTCCTTGGGATATCACACGTCCCCGCCACTTGTCCCACGCTAATCCCCGACACTTATTCCGCCGATGAGTCCGCCGACACTTGTCCCGCCGGTGGTCCCACCAGTACTTGACCCAAAATGCCATTATTTTTGCTTAGTTCCATATGATCCCCGACATATTTCCTCGTGGTGTCCTGGTTTCTCTTGGCATTTTCCGCCCCATGGCTGCCTCATTTCTAGTTTATTTCCGTGTTCCACGCACACCAGTATTTTCGGTCGCGGCCTTTCACTTGACTCATGGCCCTTTGACTCGTCTTATGCCGTACTCCGGTGACCTTCTTGGCCCCATGTTGCGTTCTTATGTGTGGGTGACCCAATACTATTTTTTTGATTTCCTTGACTCCTTTCTTTCTGCGGCGCTCACACCAGCTCATTACTGGCGGTCCTTCTTCTTTTGGAAGAAGGGCGCCTTTACTATTCTCTTGCGGCTCTTCACCGCTTGCTATTCTACTAATCTCTACTTGGTCCAGTGATTCTGGCGGCCTAGGGCATTCTCTAGGCCCCTAAGCGCCGACACTTATGCCTTAGCCTTCCATCCTTCCTATCTCTTTTGCCTCCAGTTTTCTCTGTTCTGCACAATTCTGCCATATACCACTTCTCAAAGGTCAAGACTTGTTTCGGGACCCACCGGTCCCAACATATTCCCCACACTCATTCCCGATGTCCTCATCGCGCATCAGTCAGTGGTTAATGGGGGAAGCGGCTTGGGGAAAGGTAGATAAGGGCGGCGGAGTGAGATACGATAGGTGGTTAGCTTGCCAGGGTTCATTTCTCAATCTTTCCCTTATGTCTTTCCTCTGTTGTCCGTCTTCTGGCTCATGTAGTATGTGCTTCTTTCTCAAGCTCGAGTCATCCCAACAATCAACTTTTTGGCCCGTGCAATCCCGTGTTTCTGACCATTCTTAATGCATCATATAATCGATTTTTTAGCTCGTGCAGTTCGTGTATCTGGCCACCTTTTCCCCCCACTTAAGTGCGATGCTCCCCTCTTTCCTGGCCTTGTGCCTGCTCAGGTTAGTCGTTTTTCAAGTCTGGTTTGTTCCTCTTATTGGCCTCATTCTTAGCTCGCCCATTCTCTTTGCCTTTTGCTGACCTCTCCCGTATTTGGCCCCATTCAACGCCCCCAACCTCTTCTTAGGTTTCCCATACTCATTCTCACGCGGTCTCTTCCCGTGCTTTTCATGACCATTTTGCTAGGCCTCTTGAGTCCTTCTTAGCTGGGTAGCACGCTGAACACGTTCAGTCCCTCCACCGAACATTCAAATGTGTTCGGACGTTTGGCTGAACGTGGACTGAACGCGTTCGGTCCGAGCGTGAAATCGCCCCCCTCGAATGTGTTTCTGGTAGACCGCTACCGCGGCCATTTTGGCCATAATGTTCGGCAGGGGCTGCAGGGGGGGGTCGGGTCTTGGCAGGAACTGCCAGGGGTGGGTCGGGGGAGGCCAGGGCGGGGGCAGGCAAATTCGAAATCCAAACTGGCCCCCCCGCTGGTTCGTGAGAGGGCCAGTTTGGGTGACCCTCATCCCCTGCATCATCGACTGCCTTGGCCGCTGGTCCATCATTGCCATCACTGCTGCTCCTGCCCATCGTCGCCATCGCTGCCGCTGGTCCGTCGTCGCGTGCTGTGGCCGCCCGCCCATCCGTCGTCGCTATGGCCATGACCGGTAAGAGAGAGAGAGAGAGAGAGAGAGAGAGAGAGAGAGAGAGAACTTTTTTTTTTTTTTTTTTTTTTTTTTTTTTTTTTTTTTTTT